TGCGAATATCGTATACAAACCAAACGGCTGCAGTATAACGAGGTTCATCCGTGCTCATCTGGTGAGATCGACCAACAAATCTCTTCTTCATTCACTTTCATACGAAATGAAGGTCCCCCTAACAATGTTATCTCAGGAGATTCATCGAAACCAATTTTTTTTCCTATCTATAAATTAAGCAAGTCCGAGAAATACAAAAGTTTAGTATAATCCCCTCTGGTCGAAAGTAAGAGCAAGAGATACTCACACAACTTCATGGTCGGCAGGCTTAGTCTCGTGCTTCAAACGCTCGCCTCGTCGGGCATCCAGTAACTCGGGCAATTCGTCTCGACATCCACGGCCATCCATTCGCCTAGAAGGCTGTGCCGAATTATGTCTATTACTTATGGTCACCGCCCGGGTTGATTCCATAGGCCCCTCTCTTCGGCTTGGCCAGAGCCCGGATGCGTCACTTGATTCCGCTGAAATAGGCACTAGGTGCGGTGGTGGATTGGTTGACAGTTGATCATCACTGGTGGAGATATCGGTAGCCCGCAGGTCATCGTTTTCATCATCCTCGTCGCCACAAACTCCATCATGGTCATCATCAATATCATTTTCGGAACCATGCTCTTCATGTTCACGGTCTGAATCGGCCCCGATCAATCCAATTGGATGTATAACGGGTGGAGAAGAAAAGGATGAGTTAGCAGATCCAGAAGGCTGTCGGCCGGCGGAGTTAGTAGGTCCAGTGCTGCTGCTTCCAGTTACAATAGTAAGACCAAGGGTTTGGCCAGGTAGACCAGACACAGGGCCTGAGTTTGCCGTGGGGGAGGAGTGCGAAGAGCAGGTGGTGGTAGTGATACTACCAGCACTAATCCTAATCGCAAGACGGTGGCTCCAGTTTGGCACAGGCGGTTTCAACTCAACAGCAGCAGTCCCATTCACTGAATCAGGAGTGGCAAGTGAGACCATGTCACCGTCGCCAAGTTCTAAATCCTCTTCTGCATCACTGCTGTCAAGGTGTTCGATTCGGGCCGACTTGCCTGTCAGGGCCACGCAGCCTATATTTCGACGTTTGGAAGGATTGAGTGTGCTCGTAGAGGATGAGGAGCAAGAGGTAGCACCATTTGAAACGCGAGAATGACGTGAGCGCGACTTGGCACTAGACTGCTTTTGCCTCTTCTTTTTCTTTTTCTCTTTTTTGCGCTTTCCTTTAAGATTAATCACAGCTACCGGCATAAGAGGTTGGATATATGTTGAAGAGGGTGAAGGAGAGGGAGAAGAAGGGCTAGGTGAGAGTGAAGGTGGGGGGCGCTTAATCGAAATGACGGAATCTGAACATTTGACTGTGGCAAGGGACAAAGGTGTTGAGAGGGCTGGTTTCGTATTAAGGTTGTTCGTTAATACAACACCATTGGAGGCAGTACGGTGGTCATCGGTGACATTTCTTGAAACGGTAGAGGTTTTATTCAAAGAGATGAAGGGAAGACCAGATTTCGATTTTGAGGAATACTAGAAATAGTAAAACAAGAGAAAATAGGATAACTTAAGGATAAATCAAAGTTAAATCGGGTAAAATAATTAATTAGTGAAGAAATACTTCCTAGGGCAATTTAATATTATAATGCCCCAAAGCTGGCTAAGCCTTGTTGTATCATTTTTCCAAATATCAAAAAATTATTTTCATACAAGTTGGACTACAGCGTTTATTTAGCATCATTCTTACGAGCAATTCTGAAAGAAATCAAAACAGTCACAATCATCTACTTATGACATCTAACCCCCAGACACAGGTTTATTTTAACAGTAGTCTGAGTCCACCACCAAAAGTTATGTTTATTGCATTACTCATAAATAACTAATAAAAGCGTTTATACAGCTGATAAATTATAAAC